GGCTTTTTTTCGGGTTTAGGGTTTAGGGTTTAGGGTTTGGGGTTTGGGGTTTAGGGTTTAGGGCTTAGGGCTTAGTATTTAGGGTTAGGGTTTCCAGCATCCACTCCCAACAGAATGGCTGCATGCCCTCTCGATTTGGACAGCTTGGAGGCAGAACATGCTCAAGAGACAACAGGATCCGCTCACATCACTGCTGACTTGAGCAATATGCCACACCAGTGTATACTGACAGCTGGAGTTCTAGTTTCCCCTGCCTGCGCTTCTACTCTATTACGAGCACAGCAACTTGGACTCACCAGAACCGCTCAGCCTCTCTATACCTCTCTAGCCCTTAGAATAACTCTCTCCAGCCCAGGTTGGGGCCGCAATTAATGCCTCTCTGTACCTCTCTCAAAAGAATATGGAGGACAATCCTAAAACTCCAAACCCTAAACCCCAAACCCTGAAACTTAAACCCTATGTATCCTGTTTACCCCATAAAAGCTATATACCCCCTTTTGACCTCTCCCTGCTCTTTGCCTCGTTCCTCTCTTGCTCGAGGCTGGTCACCAGATCGAGGGCCTGAAAGTGCTACTTGCAGAGCCTCTGTAATATGGGTTAGGACCCCATTTTGGTACCCCTAAATGTTAGGTGTATATAAGGCTTTTTTAGGGATAACGGAAAAGAAAACGGAAGCTACTATTTAGGGTTTAGGGTAGTTCCCAAACTTAGGGTCTCATTTCGGTACCCCTGCACGTTAGGGGTGTTTCTCCACAAAGCGACATTTTTGGGGCCTCTGGTGGTAAAAAACAAAACAAAATTTGAAGGGACATTTTGAGGTGTGTATTAGGATTACGAAAGGACCGTATTGAAAAGCTCCCACATGATGATGACGCTGCGCAAGAAACAAATCAGCTTTCGACGGAAATGCACGAGAAACTTCCTGCCGTACTTCTCATAAGCATCGCGGAAAACAGCTGACAAGATACTGAAGACATCAGGCGATGCAAGCAGTGTGGTAGTGGTGATATAAGAGTCTGTTGAAGTTTCCGGCTCCCTTGTCCAACCTCAAAATACTCGCTCGTATCAGGAAACCCATGCAAGGGCCTACAACTTTGAGAAAGCCCCATATTGCTTCCGGAAGATGCTGGCATACCATACCTTAAGCGCTTCATATTAATAAAAGACCTCCCAAGAATTGGGCCCATACAGTTGAGCAGCTTCTGACATGGTAGTTTCTATGCATATGGGGAGCCCAATATGGACCGAACAGATGTACCGAAAATGTGGGAAACCCAGAATACCTGAAATCTACTGCATTCTCTTAATTTTCATCTGATGTTATTTTCCATTTGATTCTGCATTATTGAGGTAGTATCTCATTGAATACCCCTGTATGAGCCACAGCTTAAACTCCTAGTATCCCCCTTAATAAGCCCCATCCCTGTATAACCCCCTATATAACCCCCCCTTTAAGGAGTTTAGACTATATCTCTTTAGATAACTATATAACCCCCAAACCATAAACCCTAAACCCTACCCCTAATTCCCCTATAATAGTAGGACATCCGACCCTCCCTACCTTGGGCTTGTCCGACAGCTCCGGATCCTCCCATTTGTCACAAAATCTGAGGTTTTGGGGCTATGGAGTGTTAAGTAGATAGAATATGGGGTATATGGGGATCTTATTATAATATACCCAAAGCCACATTCTATCTACTTAAGGGGGACCATATGAAATGAGGGTCATAAAAGCTACATATACCCTGAGCAGATGATCGATGGTGCTTATACTTTGCAGTGAGCAATATACCAGTAGTCGTAGAAGCAATGGCAAATATGCTGAAACACATAGCGAGTGAAAGCAAGAGCGGTCGCCATAAAACCCTAAACCGGCAAAACAATAGTGAGCTGGAGGCATTTACAGTTCCCGTGGATAGAGGAATTCTGGCGCCACACTGCCATCTTAGGAATCGCAATGTTCTAGGGATCCCAGGTATTAGACTTTCCCACGCACTGTAGCACTGGCACCCCGCCCTTCAAGCATGTGGGTGCTGCTGACTCAGCCAAGCCAGCGAAAGCATGAGACTCTCCTCCCCGTATGATACGTCCCCAATGATACGATACATATTTGCCCGACATGTACTATGATACCAAATTGCCAGCATGCCTTTTCAAATCAGTATAAAAGGGGATGAGTAGCTTTCGAAGAGCCTGCTCGCCAGATTGCCTGCGAAGATCTTCCTGTGCAAGGAACAAGGCCGTTCCTAAACTCAAGTTCTTTTGGCGTGTATCCGCTGCAGTACGGCACCGAATATCTTCTCCATGCAATCTACAGCAGCAATCAACCAGCGACCAGGAATGAGTTCCAGGTCCAAGTCAGTTCTTCGACATCTACCTTGGCTAACTGGTTGTGAGTAGGGAACGGAGGAATGGATTCCTACCGTAGCCCCGACATGATACCCAGCAATACAGTAGCTTGCATAATCCCCTCCCCCTAATATTAACCACCACCACCCCGCCTAATATTACACATCTCCTCATATTATATAACATACCCATGATGGGATATTCCTATTACTATTACAATTAGGGTGGTTTACTATTGGGGGGATTCTTCCTTTCCTTTCCCAACTGACTGGCCTCTGCAGCTTGGCGCAGCATACGCTCGTGCTTGAGGCGTGCCTGCAAAGAAGCCATGAGAACGCTAAACTGGGTTGCTGTTAAGGAACTTCATTTAAGTTACTATATTGGGGAAACCATGTTAATTACTATATATACCCAGTATGGTAACTTAATTCAAGTTCCCTAACAGCAACCCTGTAAAGATTTGGATCCGCTAACTGTATGACCTCTAAGTTGCAATCTTCCCACACCGGAATTTGCATGCAGCCTCTTGCGGCACTGAAAAACAGAAGTCCATGGCCCATGCCTCCCACAGTTTCTGCGCTTGATTGAACTCCTGCAATGCAAGAGTTGTCAGAATTGTCACCCGTAATCAACCATGAAGCAGCGCCGAAACCAAGACTTGTGCAGCCATCTGGGCCCCTTCCTATAATATCATCTCCTATACATACCCTGCTATGGCACAGTAGCTTCCTTTCCTTTTCCATTATCCCTATGTAATCCGAATATAATCCTTATGTGTAAAGTCAGCGTGACTGCGCTCTCCTCCCAGGCATCACGCAACCTAGCCAATCCCAATTCCTGCATGGCTTTGTCCGCGAAAGCAGCCATCTGGGCCCCCTGCAAGGCGGTGAGGAAGAATAGACAAAAAGGAAGCATGGCATATGATTTGAAAGCAAAGACACGACAAGAAGAAGACCATGAGCATCCATTTATACCCTCAACATCTTGCCCCTCGACCAAAGCATCTATCTATCTGCAACTCTTTCGAGACTTTGGTAATCCGAAGCTATCAAACCTAGGGACCACTTGGGGATCTGAAACATGTACCTCTCAAAACTAGCTTCTGCTCCATGTACCTCAGAAGTGTTGTCTGAATGATCCTCCTTGCAACGGCCCAGACGGGACCCAGAAGCATTTGGGAAACCGGGTATCTCCAGATCTTCAGTTGGCCTGGTTGGTTATCTTCTCGTCCAAAGCCTGGAGAGCTTTGTCCTTAGAAGCTGATTGTCCTCCCATCACTGGATCCTTACTGGGCCCTTTGGGCCGCATCCATCCCAAATTCCTTGACGCGGCGATTGCTGGGATTGACTAGATCCGTTTTCTGCTAGGGCCTTGCAAGCGCTGTGAACATGGGCTTGGGCGCCATATTGAAATCAGGACTTCGTAGCATGTGTGCGATCTCAGCTTAATGCTTGTGGGGGCCCAAGATTCCAGTGGAGGCGATGTGGTTGTTTGCATGCTTCAGGGTTCACGGGACGAGAAGGTGTAATCTAGGCTGGCAGGCGATCATTCATGATGAGGCCACATTGGCATCTTCATGTCGTCGTTCGGCTTTCAAACTTCTTTGCATCCCACTTGACTCTAGCTCATCACCACATCCTGCTGTTGATGCGAAGTAAACTCGAGTGATTTCCAGGGTTTAGGGTACTTAGGATCATTTCACCTGGCATTGCTTGTAGAAGCTTAAAAGGGGTTCTCCACAATTAAGGGCTCTCATGAACTCTTGGAATATATGGGGGGCTACAGGGAGTTTATGGAGGTGCGTATCAAGGATGAATAGTATGAGTGGGATATTTTGAGAACCCTCCATGGATCTCTATCAGGGCATATCATAAGGGCGACATAGAGACCCATAAAGACCCGATGAAGAATTCCTATGCCCAGCTTAACTCATCCCTTGCTGCGGGCGAAGCCACATCTTGATGCACTCTTGGCACAGAAGAAGCAAGCTGTCTCAGTTGCAGACCCCTTTGGCACAGTGGCCGGCAATTTCCTGCAGGGAGCAAGGTCAAAGGTAGAGCCATTGACAACGGATGGTTATATTGATGCTATATAAGATTTATATTGAGGTTATGTTAGAATGATATTGAGGTTATATTAGGGTTATATTGACATTATGTTAGGGTTATATTGGGGTTATATTGAAATTATATTAGGGTTATATTGGGGTTACAGGGGTTGGGGCTCATTCATGCAGAGGCTAGCAAGAGCAGTTGTGACGCAGCAGCACTTCAAGCGGCCTCCACTGAAATTGGTACCGCACAACTGGGTTGAGGAATTTAAATTAAGTTGTTTGAAAAGAAACCGTATTATTTACTATATCCATTAGGAGGACCCCCCACCCTGTAATAGTGGTATAATAGGATTAATATGGGACCCTAATATGATTACCATGATCCCTTATGGTCACTATTACTGGGTGGGGGGTCCACCTAATATATCCATACTATGGTAACTCATTCTAAGTTCCTTGACAGCAACCCCAGTTAAGTGCATCAGGCCTGCGCGAAAACTGCCGTGGGGCGGCTGTTGATCTTGTCCGTCAACACCGATGCAAAAGCCTGGATGTTTCATCCCAAAACAAGTGCTAGAATAATCAGAGTAATAATAGTAGTAGTAATCAAAATAGTAATCATAGCAATATTCGCCAACATAGCAGTAATAATAATACTAATAATAATAATAATAGTTCAGAGTGATAATAGTGATAATACTAATAATATAAGAAGAATAACAATAAAACCCTAAACCCTAAACCCCTAAACCCTAAACCCTAAATAACAAGTCTTGCTTCCTGTGCTCCACCACCCTGCCTGCCACCCGTGAAGTCCATGTGACCAGCTCTCCTTTCAGAGGACCCAAAGGTTGGGTCTTCATATAGTAGTGTATACTGTTGATGGAGGAAATCTTGCACCACCTTAGGTCCTTAAGGTCCCAGGAACTACAGTAATTTAGGGCCGCTACGTGGTGCAAGATTCGAGCCATCAACAGTAGTAGTATATTATTGTATATTGTAGTATATTATATTGAATCGTTCCAAAGGCAAGCACGTTCCTTGCCCGAACATTCTAGAGAATCATAGAAACCAAGTTTCCATGTAATGTTCCAGTTTCTTTTCCATGTGATTCTCCATCATTGGGGTATTACACCCTTAAACCCTAATCCCCATAAGAAGAAACAGAGGTCTTTGAAAATTGACTTGCAGCCTTCAGGTCGTCCAGAGAGCTCCCGTCAATGAGTCGCAGCAGGCGGAGGGTGAAACGCGTCCACCTTGCGGCCAAAACTCAGAACAACACACACAATGCTTGGGTCAATCCCCGACCCAGCAATGGATACCACAAGGGACTAGGGTAGGCATATTAATGGCCCCAATAACTCCATAGTCAGAGGCCACCACTGTAGGGGGGATTGACCTGACACAAAGCTACATGGCGTCTCTCACCATCAGCTTGATACATGCTATGTGCTACCCGCACCATCGGGCTTGATCCCCTCCCCTTTGTATTGAAACCCCCCCACCCCCTAATATTAAATACTCCCAATATACTATGATATACCACAATTTAATATTAAGGGGGAGTGGGGGGCGTGTAATATTAGGGAGAGGGGATTACAAAACTGATGCAGCAAAGGCCTGCTTTCTCGGATCTCGGATACTGCCTGCAGGTAAGAATTTCTGAAACAAAGCCCAATAATATGATGCAAATGATCAATTCCTTCATTCCGTACTAAGAAGAGACATATAGAAGAGACATATAATAAACAAGCTGTAGCATCCAGAGCAGAACAGCACTAAAAGCAGTGGTGGCAAAAACCGCAGCGTTAGCCAGCCTAAGAGTGAGCAGTCGTGGTGTTCGGCTGCGAAAAAGCCAAAAAAAAGATAAAGGAAAATCACATGGAAACTACTACAGTATAATACGGTATAGATTGGGGGTATATAGGGGCTAAAGTCAAAAACAGAGATAGACCGAAAGAGTAGGGGGTTTGCTAGGCCTGCTGCTTGAAGGCTTCCGCCAGTGTGGTAAGCTCCTTGTGCATAGCAAAACCCCGAAACAATCTCTTCATATTTGGTGGTTTCCCAAATTTAGGGTCCCTTTTTGGGGGTCCCCATAATAAGGACTATAATATTTTGGGAGCTATTTAGGGAAACTACCATGTCTACATAACATGTCATCACAACTTGGCGTAGGACCTTATGAACTAAAGTAACTGAAGTCCATAAACCGTCGTCACGCTTGTGTGTACCCTTCCAAAGTCACTGTCAGCGATACCCTAAACCCTAAACCCTAAACCTGATCAGT